ATAGACACCGTACTCCATCTCACATTTCTGAAAGCCTTGCTTCTTGAAAAATGAATCAATCTTCTGATTCCAAGCTCTGGGCGCTTGTTTCAATCCATAGAGAGCTTTGTATAATCTGTACACCATCCCTTCCTGATTCTTTTTCACAAATCCAGGAGGTTATGACACGTAAACTTCTTCTTCTAATGGACCATTCAGAAATGTAGATTTTACATCTAAATGCATCAGAGGCCAATTCCTGTTAGCAGCTATTGCAATCACCATTCTGATTGTTTCATGTCTTGCTACAGGTGCAAACACTTCAGAATAATCCAGCCCAGGTTTTTGTAGAAATCCTCTGGCTACCAACCTTGCTTTATGTTTGCCAATTAAACCATCTGGATTTAACTTCTGCTTGAAAACCCATCTAACGCTGATGGCTTTCTTGTCTTTTGGAAGTTCTGTCAGCTTCCAAGTCTTGTTTCTCTCTATAGCCTCAAGTTCTTCTTTCATGGCCTTCAGCCAGAGCTTCTGCTTAAGAGCCTCTTCTATACTTATGGGTTCAGAGTCTACCATCATGGCACACTGAATAACTTCTCCTTCAGAGTCTACTTCAGTGTCTTGCAGCATGTCAAATTCTGCATATCTTCTGGGGACGTTTCTGATTCTTTGTGGTCTCTGAACTTGTTTAGAGTCTTGAGCTTCAGAGTTTCTAGCTTCAGATGATTGACTTCTTCCAGAGCTTTGACCATCTTCAGAGTCTGGCATATTTCCAGGGTCTTGAACTTCAGAATTTCTAGCTTCAGAGGTTTGACTTCCTCCAGAGCCTCGGCCATCTTCAGAGTCTGGATCATCAGAGTCTGGATCATCAGAGTCACCTTCATCTTCTGAGTCTTCTCCAGAGTCAGAATCACTATCAGAGTCAGAATCAACGTCAGAATTTACTCGAACTTCAGAAATTCTTAACTCTGACCTTTCTTCAGGAGTTCTAACATCAGAATCAGATTGAGACTTATCCCAATTCCAAACTTTTGATTCCTTCACAATCACATCTCTGCTGAATTCAATTTTATTGGTTTCTGGACAATAGAGCTTGTATGCACCTGTATTGTGGTACCCTATCAGAATCATCACTTTGCTTCTATCATCTAGCTTCTGTCTTCTGGCTTCTGGAACATGTTTATAGCAAACAGAACCAAACACCTTCAGATGACTAACACTTTGCTTATCTCCAGTCCACTTCTGTATTGGAACTATTTCCTTCAACTTCTTCGTAGGACATCTGTTGAGTACATACGTTGCAGTGGCAACAGCTTCTCCCTAGAGCTTCTGAGGAAGCTTCTTCTCCTTTAGCATGCTTCTCACCATATCAAGCAAAGTGCGGTTTCTTCTTTCAGCAAGACCATTGTGTTGAGGGGTATAAGGAGCAGTAACCTCATGCTTAATTCCATTCTCCTCACAGAACTTCTGGAACTCTTTGGAGTTATACTCACCTCCACCATCAGTTCTAAGAATCTTCAACTTCTGACCACTCTGATTCTCAGCCTTCATTCTGAACTTCTTGAATTCATCAAACACCTCATGTTTAAATTTAATAAGGGATACCCATGTCATTCTTGTGAATTCATCAACAAACAACACAAAGTATTTATTCCCTCCAATTGATGCTACTGGAAATGGACCACACACATCAAAATGTACAACTCCCAAGGCATGTTTTGCTCTTGGAGCAACTTCTGACGCAAATGGCAAACGTGGTTGTTTTCTTTCCATGCAAACTTTGCATAACTTTTCAGGCTTCTTAATTGCAGGAATTCCATGTACCAGCTTCTTTGAATTCAGATGTTTTAGGCTTCTGAAATTCAAATGACCAAATCTTCTGTGCCACAGCTCACTCTCCTTCTCAGCACATGTTGCACTAAGACATTCTGAGTCTGCAGTTCTGACATTCACCTTGAATGTTCTATTCCTTCCCTGTTCTGACTCCATAATCAACTTCTGATTGTAGTCATACAGCTTCAGAAGATTGTCCTTCATGGTAACTGAAAAACCTTTCTCAATTAATTGTCCCACACTCATCAGATTGCTTCTGATGCCAGGTACATACCACACGTTCTGAATTAATGCTGTTTTCCAATTGTTCAGAGTCACTCTGACATTTCCCATACCTTCTGCATTAAGATATTTGTCATCAGCACATCTGATCTTTGTCCTCTTTTCAGAGTCAAAGTCAACCAGCCATTTCTTGTTTCCAGTAAGATGATTTGAACAACCAGTGTCCATATACCACCAGTCTGTCAGATCCATATCATCAGATTTAGAGGCCATCAATAACACAAATTCGTCATCAGAACTTCTGGCTATATTTGTTTCTTCTGATTTTCTCTCCTTGTTTGACCAACAATCTCTAGCAAAGTGACCAAACTTCTTACAACAGTAACATTGGATCTTCTTCTTGTCATACTTCTCTTTTCCCTTCTGAGCATTCTTTTGTCTATCAGAGGTTGAGCTTTCTGACTTCTGACCACCATCAGATCTTCTCCTGGCTTCTGACTGCTTCTGATACCTCCTATCAGAGGTTGCTTTCAGAGCCTGCTACTCTACTTCCTTTTCAGAAGTTCTCTCAGTCAAACGCAACTCTTGCGCTTCTAGACTGCTCTGCAACTCTTCAATTCTCATGGTGCTTAGATCTTTGGAATGTTCTATTGCTACCACAATGTAATCAAATTGAGGAGTAAGGGATCTCAATACCTTCTCCATGATTATTTCTTCAGAAAGAGTTTCTCCACACGCCTTCATCTCATTAGTGATCAGAATCATTTTGGAGATGTATTCAGAGACTTTCTCATTATTCTTCATGTTGAGATTCTCATATTTCTTTCTCAAGGACTGAAGCTTCACCTTCTTCACTGATGCGTCACCACCATAACATCTCACCAGTGTGTCCCACGCAGCCTTTGCTGTTGTTGAATCTGCAATCTTCTCAAACACATTTACATTCACACATTGATGAATGAAGAACAACGCTTTCTGATCCTTCTTCCTTACTTCCTTCTGCGTGTTTTTCTGTTCATCTGTTGCATTTGCTGCTACTGGAACATAACCATCAGTGACAAGATCTAGAACATCTTGAGCACCAAATAATACACGCATTTGGATCATCCAACGATTCTAGTTTTTACCGTCAAATACTGGAAGCTTGGTGTTCATGTTGCCGTTTCCGTTCATCTTCACCTTGCACAATACACTCAGATTTTTCACACAGTGTTTCCCAACCCACAGAATAAAATTATGATCAGATTTTGTTCAAGATTCAACACGAATCTAAGAATCAAAATCAAACACACAAGACCTCACGTTCACTCGTGTTTCCCGTGTTTCCCAATGAATCTGAACCGGAGCTCTGATACCAATTGTTGGTGCAAAGGTAGAATAAATGATGAAAGGAGAAATATTCTATTAAGAATGACGGCTACAAAAACATGATAAAAGTTACAATGATTGTCACCCTATTTATAAGCTAAAACTAGGGTTACTAGAATAAGATAAAATACTAAAATACCCTCTAACATACTTAGGGTCTAAGAAAATAGTACAACTAAATAAATATGAATTACTATTAATATTCTAATAATAATAAAAATAATGGAGTTGTTGTTAAAAAAATATGGAGACATTATAATAAGTGAAAAATTAATATAGGCAAATTACGATTATAATAAAAATGAGGGCAACTATGCTATTATAACAAAAATATATTTTATTTTAACTCCTCTCTTCCTTTCCCTCCAAAAATCTCCAATTTGCGAAAATAAAAAACTACTCCAAGAACAATTCAAATTACCTCCTCTCCCATTCCCTCGTAAAAAATTGAATCAAATATACTTAATTAAAAATATTATCTCTCATCCCATTCCCTCATAAAAAATTGAACCGAACATACTTAATTTAAAATATTCCACCTTTCTCTCTTTAGGCATGATAAGGAAACCCAGATCCGCCCCGAAATTAACAGGAAAAATTCGATTTAATTGGGTGCGGGTGTGAGTAAAACTCGATTTTCTATTACGAGTGCGGGGTGAGGGATGCTACTATCTGTCCCGACCCCGTCTCTGTCTAATTTAATTTACTTTTATGTCTCATTTTAATTATTTAATTATACATTTATTAGAATTATTTTAATTTTTAGACATAGTTTTACTAGAAAAACATGTTTATTAGTTATTTTACTCTTAAAAACATGTTTATTATTAAAATAATTAATTTTTATTGTTATGAAAAAATATTTATTTAAAAAAATAGTTTTGCGGGTGGGGACGAAAAACCCGTTTTCCATTGGAGGCGGATCTGAGTGATAGTTTTTTTTATCCTGGACTGTATGCAAGTGCGATGACGGGTCTATTTCAGGGAGGCAGGTGCAGGTGCGAGGCTGTTTAAACCCGCTCCGTTGTCATGCCTATCTCTTCCCTCCCTTCCCTTTCAAAACTCTCCAACCCATTTGTAGGTTGGTGAAATGTTCTAAATGGGCCTTTAGTTTAGAAAAACTCTTCTAAATTTATATTAAATAAATTTTAAAATTAAAATTATTAATTTAATTTATAAAAAAATTAAATAATAAATTATTCTAATTATTATTACCCAATCATTAAAAATAGTTTTTAATTTTTTTATCCTAATCATTGTTAGGTAGCAACAAAATTACATGAGAAATAAATTTGAGAGATAAAAAAAATTGAATTTTAATATGAAAGATTAAAAAATTAAAAACACTTAAATAAGAGAGATGAAAAGTGCACACATATATAAAAAAAATTATTGTATGAAAATTAATCTCATAAAATATAAAATGCAATAATCCTTGATTTCCTTAGTTGCCGGTGCCTTACCCACCCGATCTACTTCTTTGGAATACAAAGCACCGATGATCTGATTTTCGCGTTAGTTAAAACTTCTGCTTCTTTTTCTTCTCTCGGAGCACTGATATATAACCATTCACGGATCCCTGAGATTCTGCTACGGCAATGGCTCAGCAACTCGCCAAGAAGGACGATGACCGCGACGATGAAGGTTCACTTCTTTTCTTACCATTTCTCAATTCGACCCTGTTTTTTTTTTATCATCTTCTCGATTAGCATTTGCGTTTTTGACGGTTAGGTATCCGATTCGGTTCCAGATCCATGTTCAATTTATTTTCCAATGTAGTAGTAGGATTTACCTAGTAGTTACATCATCATCGTTGGATTGAATTTAGTGTTGTTCAATTTGTTTAGATTTGTTATTGATCTTGCTTCAGAAATTGCAATGTAGATCATTGAATGGATGAGTTCCCAGTGATGAGTTGGTAGTTTAGATCTTTTAGCTCTGTCACAAATTTAATTGTTCCTGATAAGAAGCACGGACATTGACACCGACCCTGACACGTCGACACACACGACACCTTTTTTCAGAGGTGTCAGTGCTAAGAGTGTTGCTAATTGTGTTTTTTATTGATGACCAGCTGACTACTCCCCTTTCACGGGAATTGAAAAGGGGGCAGTTCTTCAGGAGGCACGGGTTTTTAATGATCCACAGCTAGATGCTAGGAGATGTTCACAGGTTTTTATCATGGACATGAGGATTTCTTTGTTCTCTTAACTTTTTTTTCTTGTAAATTATTCTGGCAGTTGAAATTTAATGCTGTGTATGTTTTGCCATCTCATTTATCTAGGTTATCACAAAGCTTCTTTACCTACTGAATCAGGGAGAGACATTTACAAAGGTTTTGAGCAATTTACAAAACTTTCTTCATGCATTTTTGTGGTTTGACAATGTGGAATTATGTTAGAGTCACTATTGAATCTTTTAATTATTGCTAGACCGAAGCCACAGAAGTTTTCTTTGCTGTGACTAAGCTTTTCCAGTCTAGAGATATGGGATTGAGGAGAATGGTCTACCTGATGATAAAGGAGATCTCTCCCTCTGCCGATGAGGTTACATTTTCTTATGCGAAATTTCTTGTTTTTTAGATTTATATGTATGGGGTATAATTTATGTATTACAAACTTAGATTTTATAACTGTTCTACTTCTTTGATATTGTAAAGGTTATTATTGTCACAAGCTCTCTTATGAAGGACATGAATAGCAAGATTGATATGTATAAGGCAAATGCCATTCGAGTGCTTTGTCGTATTACAGACGGAACCCTTCTAACCCAAATTGAGCGGTATATAAAACAAGCAATTGTAGATAAGAATCCAGTTGTTGCAAGTGCTGCCTTAGTTAGTGGCATTCATCTACTCCAGGTAATATCAGTTTCTATTTGTCATTCTGTATATTTTGTACATCCCATGTATGGTATATGCTTATTTGTGCCCCTTCTTTACAGACGAATCCTGAAATTGTAAAAAGGTGGAGTAATGAGGTTCAGGAAGCTGTTCAATCAAGAGCAGCTCTTGTACAGTTTCATGCACTGGGTTTGCTACACCAGGTACACTGCAAGTTTGGTTTGGTTATTTTGTGATTCTAGATCATTCAGTATATTATGGTTCACTTCCTGGCTTATATCTTTATATTTCAACTGCACTTTCTTGAATGGTCACTGTACTTTTCTTATCGTAGCTAAATATCATGAATGGTGAATATTCAGCACAAGCTAGTCAATGTTTTTACTTTTTTTTTTGAACAGAAGTCATGATTCTATTGTTACATGTTGTCATTTAAGCACATTTCTTTAAGAGGTCCTTAGTTTCTATTAAAGTTTAATTGGATGCCAAATTTGAGTAAAACAGAGGAATCAAAACTTCTTGAAATTCTCTTGCAGAAGTTGTTATTTGTTTGTCTGGTACTATGGTATTTGCTCTCTTTTATGGCAGTTACTATCTCTCCATCTACTCAGCCACAGACGTCCCACAATCAAGGAACTAGAGGAGGCTGAGTTAGGTCTATAAATAGGCGGAACAGAATCCAAGAGAGACACTCATTTTCTTAGACTTGCAAACAGAGACTTCTGTCTAATCCTATTCATTCTTTTCGCTTGTATTCAAATGTTATCACTCAGGGGATAGTCTCACATTCTTAGTTCAACCCATTGTAGAAAATATGCTTGAATCTTGACTTGGGTAATTTGAGCATATGTGGAGGAGATCTATAGGAAGGAGAGTAGATGAAATGGAGGACAGCGGACAGCCTAAACGTCAGTTGTAGAGGAAGGCTAGAAAAAAAAGTACAGAAGAAGCTGCTTAAGAATGCTGATATCTCTATCATTGTTGAAGTTAGCAAAGCTTTTAAGTCTTACCTGCATTGATTGTCATCGCTGTAGGTTTTGGCACCATCAAGAATAATGTCATATGTAAATCACCTTATGGAAATTCAGTTTGAGCTGAACCATGATGGAAAAATTCTATTTAACTAAAAGTTTCAGTCTCTTACCTACATTGATTGCCATCTCCGTAGGCTATGGCATCAATGAGGTCTTTACATGTCTTATATATCTTGTGGAATTCCAGTTTGAGCTGAACCATGATGGAAAAATTATGTTCAAGTAATTTATATTTTTGGAGCTACCCCTCCGGTTTCTATGGGAAGAGTCCCTGGTAATCTGGAGTTTGGCTGAGAGATAAGTACAATTTGACCAAGAATTGTTCCACCCAAGATTCAAACCCGGGTTCTCCTGAACAATCTGTCTTATACTGAAGCTCAGTAACCACTTGGTTTTATTAACTAACTTCTATTCCTTAAAGTCCTTTAAATGTTTTACTGTACGTCTTTTAGATTGTACCTTCTGAAAGGCCTACTTTTTTTTATCACACAGAACATAAGTGTAAGTTCTTAAGATGGTTTGAGATATTTGGTGATTTCACAATTGCAGATACGACAGAATGACCGGCTAGCTGTTAGCAAGCTCGTTAGCAGCTTGACAAGGGGAACTGTTCGCTCACCTTTAGCTCAGTGCCTGTTGATTCGCTACACAAGTCAGGTGTGTCTTACTCCATATGAATCTTGTTGGGATGATATTTATTTGCTTAAATGTTTATCTTCTATTATATTTGTAGGTTATCCATGAATCAGGAAATAATACACAGTCAGGGGACCGCCCCTTCTATGATTATCTTGAGAGTTGTCTTCGTCACAAATCAGAGATGGTGATTTTTGAAGCTGCCAGGGCTATTACAGAGCTCAATGGTGTAACAAGCCGAGAACTAACTCCAGCAATTACTGTCCTTCAGTTATTCTTAAGTTCTTCTAAGCCAGTTTTAAGATTTGCTGCTGTCCGCACCTTGAACAAGGTAACCCTTTGTCAATCACTCAAATTTTAGCAGAAGTGATTTTTAACAGTCCTCTCAAGCATCTTCCCTATAGAATAAGTATTTTGTTTTTCCCTTCTATGATTTGAACGTGTTGATATAAAATCAAGATTTTCTGGGTTCTTAAATTTTCTCATGATATTTGCATTGGCTAAACTTGAGCCCTATTATTTTAATTCTGAGTGAGGCTATGAAACTTTGCAGGTGGCAATGATACACCCAACATCAGTCACTAACTGCAACATTGACATGGAAAGTTTAATCTCTGACCAGAATAGAAGCATTGCCACACTTGCTATTACTACACTTTTGAAGACAGGAAATGAATCAAGCGTGGACCGTCTTATGAAACAAATTACAAATTTCATGTCTGATATTGCCGATGAGTTCAAAATTGTTGTTGTTGAAGCAATAAGATCATTGTGCCAGAAGTTCCCGTTAAAATATAGATCTCTGTATGTGAGCTGTACTATAGTCTTCGTCTCCCAAAATTTTATACCTTGCATAATCTTGTTTCCTTAATGAGTGGTATAAATTATTTGTTTGTGTCTGCTATTATTTTCAGGATGAACTTCCTGAGTAACATTCTTAGGGAAGAGGGTGGGTTTGAGTACAAGAAGGCAATTGTAGATTCAATTGTGATTCTCATTAGAGAAATCCCCGATGCAAAGGAAACTGGGTTGCTCCATCTCTGTGAGTTCATTGAAGATTGCGAATTCACTTATCTGTCTACACAGGTATTTCTTTTGGGGTCCTTCGTGATTCAGAGTTTGTTCATTTTTCTTCTGGAATTGTGTACATTTTGCTGTTTACCAATTTGTTCCCCTTGAACCATAGATACTACACTTCCTAGGAATTGAAGGGCCAAAAACATCAGACCCCAGCAAATATATTCGTTTCATTTATAATAGAGTACATCTTGAGAATGCAACAGTTAGGGCCGGTGCTGTGAGCACACTGGCAAAGTTTGGTGCTGCAGTCGATGCATTAAAGGTTCACTTTCTTTTGTTTATCATCACAATATTAGCGACTTTCTCTTTCTATTTATAATATTTTTGGGGAATATTTGGTGCTAAAATCTCATCCTTACTCTTTCAGCCGCGCATATTTGTTCTGCTGAGGCGATGTCTTTTTGACAGTGACGATGAGGTGAATTTCTATCCTTTTTTATGAGGCATTTTATGAGATGCACTAGCTGTGTTTTTTTTTTTTTGCACGTCATGTTCAGGATTTGTTGCTTACATGTTCGTCTAGAAAACTAATAAATATTTAAAATTTTAAAAATATGAATGACATCTCACTTCTCACCCTCCCCCCCGGAAAGAAGAGGGTTTTCTATTTCTGGATGTGTATGAAGTTGTCAACTGCGTTATTTTATGTCTGTTATTTTGATTTATTTGCAGGTCCGTGATAGAGCAACCCTTTATCTAAACACACTTGGAGGTGATGGTTCTGTTGTTGAGACTGATAATGCTGTAAAGGACTTCCTGTTTGGGCCATTTGATATCCCACTTGTCAATCTGGAGACTAGTTTGAAAAATTATGTAAGTGTTGGTGTTTTACTTGCATTCCATTAGTACAGTATCTCATGTGTTTGACATGTTTACAGGTGCCTTCAGAAGAGGCTTTTGACATTGACTCTGTGCCCAAGGAAGTCAAATCTCAGCCACTTGCAGAGAAGAAAGCCGCTGGGAAAAAGCCAACTGGTTTGGGTGCTCCTCCAAGTGCTCCCTCATCAACTGCTGATGCATACCAGAGGATGCTTTCATCTATTCCAGAGTTTGCTAACTTTGGCAGCCTGTTTAAGGTTTACACACTTGATTGTTCTTTCACAAATTTATTTTTGTTTTTTGTGCCTTCAATGGGTAATACAATATATATGTGCTAATGTTAAATTTCTTACCAGTCCTCAGCACCTGTGGAGCTCACTGAAGCAGAGACAGAATATGCAGTTAATGTCATTAAACACATTTTTGACAGGCATGTTGTGTTCCAGTACAACTGCACAAACACGATACCAGAGCAATTATTAGAACATGTAATGACTTACATAGATACTTCAAATTTCTTAAAACAATCCATTCCCAGGCCTTGTTTGTAAAATTATATATCCTTGTACACAGGTTATCGTATTTGTGGATTCTTCAGAGGCAGATGAATTCACAGAGGTGTTCTCCAAGCCTCTCAAGTCTCTTCCTTATGATTCACCTGGACAGATTTTTGTGGCATTTGAGAAGCCCGAGGGCGTGCCAACACTTGGAAAGTTTTCTAATGTTCTGAAATTTATTGTTAAAGAGGTACTTAATCCTCTTTACTTTTATAAAGCTTTTGGGTTTTTTCTTATTTGATCTAGTCCCAATATGTATCATTATTAAGTGTATATTTCAAGTGCGAGGATTGTTTTTATTTCCTACGTTTGGGGAATTTGTGGAAAACAACCTATAAAATATTTTGTAGAAAATCTCCGTATAAATTGGATCTTCTTCAGGTTGACCCAACCACTGGTGAAGCTGAAGATGATGGTGTTGAAGATGAATATCAGTTGGAGGATCTGGATATTGTTTCGGCAGATTACGCGTTGAAATTAGGGGTATCTAATTTCAGGAATGCATGGGAAAGCATGGGCCCTGATTTCGAACGTGTGGATGAGTACGGTCTTGGTCCTAGGGAGAGCTTGGCTGAAGCTGTAAATACCGTCACCAACCTTCTTGGCTTGCAGCCCTGTGAGGTAAGCCAATAATGTTACATGCTGCTTTATTTACTTTCTTGGCTTGCAGCCCTGTGAGATAAGCCAATAATGTTACATGCTGCTTTATTTACTTTGTTGAGAAAAAATTATTTAGCATTATGTCTGTGTTTGTGTAAAGCGGTTGCACTAAGTTTTGAATCCATGGTCTCTTGTTAATAACCCAAAGCCCTCACTATTAACAACCTTATTTCATTAAACTGATTACAAACAAGTCAAGGTGATCATGCAATTTTTACTGTAACAGAGTCACTTTAACATTGTTAGATGCTTCCAACATACTAACATACTGCTTCATAAACGGACCGGCTGGTTCAACCGTGAACTAGGGTTGGTCAGAGCGCTTAAAACCGGAAGTCTGTACAAACCGGAATAAAACTGCTCAAACCGCTTTGAACCGAGAACTGGAACTAGATTTGGTAAACTGTATGGTGCAGAAAGAAATCTTAAAAGTATCATCTTAAAACACAGTAAGTTAAAGAAAGTAGAAAGCAAAGGGACTAGCTCATCACGGATGTGACACACCAATAGCTACATATCATTATATTTTACAAATAATAGGCAATTAAAAAAAGCAATAATAGCATTTTACTAAGCAATAAATATTAGATTTAATATTTTAAAAAATTAATATTAAAACATTGCATGAATTATCTATGAAGTTTAGTATTGTATTTATTATTTAGTTTATTTGTTTGTTTATTATCCGGTTCAACCGGTTAAATCAATTGAACCATGACCCAAAGGTTTCACTGGTTCATTCTCCGGTTCAGGTTTTAGAACACTGTTTTGTATCATGTTAGTATTTACAGATTTGTTTTCCATGAAGGATTTAGTAGAGAGCATAAACCAAAAGGGGATTTTCTCATACACAAATTTTAGGTTTAATATTAAGAAAATATGCTTAATGTAGTTGGTGGATAAATATCAAGACTAACAATTTAACAGAGTGTTTATTTCAAAAGAAGGAAGAAAGGGGGACCCTTTCTGTTTGGTTTGTAAGGGGAGGGGAGGGGGAATAAAACTAATTTACTTTATACCTTTAAAATGGTATATATTTTTAAATGCTCTGTTCTACACGTGTAACACCAAGATCCTCTGACAGCAGTGCTTATTCCTCATTCCCATTTATATAAGAAGCAACAAACAAATTGAAAGGTATAGTAGCTTGCAAAAAAATATTACAGTAATGTAATTTAAAAGTATACAGATAAGTATAGAACATTAAAGTTATGTAGTCCGCCTGCAAATCTATTATTATCTCCTTATTCTTTTTGTATTGAACAAGTTTAAAAGTTGGTGAGGGTCAACTTGTTGTATCCCTTACACATTAGTTGTTAACATGTCTTAATCTTGTTGCTTGCTTGACAAATACATCACTCAGAAAAGTTTACATCACTTAGGGACGGTATTGTGGCTCACTCAGGTGGTTTCAGCCGGTCAAATAGCACCAGAAACTTTGCTCAGCCACAACATAAAGGAAATTGAAATCTACACTTTTCATGTATAATCCTCATGCATGCCCTAAATATGAAAGCAGAAAAATAGAAAAATATCTATAAAAATTCTATCAAAAATAATCTGTTGACTTGAGACCATCATCATGCTTGCACAGTAGTGGAAAAATAATTCTACACATTGACAACTAGCTTACCTTGCCATTAATTTGAAGCAATTCCCCATCAACCCATTCTGGATTTTGAAATTAAATCTGATACTCCCAGCCTTTACAATCCGCAACCTGTTTGTAAATGAGTGTAGTGTTTGGGATTAGTTTCATGTTTTCAGAACAATCCATGCGACAAAAATGAAATTCTCAGAAAAGAAAACTAAGGCAAAGAAAAGATGCAAGCAATCAAAATATACGGGCCTAAAAAACATCCAGCAATAAAAAAATATTAGCAACTACAAGAAGAGTGAAGGAAAAGCATGCTTTATTGGCAGTCACTGTCACCAATTTGTGTTTAATTCTGTGAATTGTGATGTCGCAAAATTAACCAACTATTCCAAAAGTGTAAGCTGTTAAGTGAAGATAAATGAATGGTTCTTGTGATTTGTGAAGATGCAAGAAGAGGGTACTAAGGTAGAAAATCGTGTAAAGGAGTGCAAGATTTGGATTTCTTTGTAAACATAACTTTGGACATTTTAGTCTAATACACTTAAAAAGAATATTTCAACGATTTTCTTTCCTCTCTAAAACTCTCCAATATTGGAGAGCCAAAATCAAGAGAAGAGATAACATAAGTTTTGTCCCCTTCCATTTCCCTTCCCGCTCTAAAATATAGTTTGTAAAAATCCCTTCATTTCCCTCCAACCACGTTCCAGAGTTTTGAAGAATTAAATGTATAACAATGGGTGGGATACATACATGAGGATCCAATGCCGAAGTGAAATTTTAGGGATGGCCCAAGTGATTAATGAATACTTTTAAACGGGCTTACATCCAGCGCCTGACATTTCCAATCTCTTGCCAGACCACAAGGGTGCCTTGCATGCATACTTTTATTTGAACAGCATGTTTATGCTACACACATGACACCTGCACAGAGAACCTATATTGACAGAGATTTGGAGGTGCTGTTGTATTAAGATACTTTTTACTCCACAACACAGATTAAGTTCATGCGAGTTTAATATTTATAACCTAGATGCAAACATAATTGGTGAGAGTGTAACATGATATAGACACTAAACTTGTAAACTTGCCTCGGAGTAAGATATTTCTATCCATGAGAACCTAACAAATTCTCAAATGAGAAAAAACTGGTAGGAGTATCTTTTATTAATGTCTGCTTTCAGTTATACTGGTATCTTCTAATAATTCTTATTTATGGGCTGTGCAGGGTACCGAGGTTGTTCCACCCAATTCAAGATCACACACATGTTTGTTGTCGGGTGTATTCATAGGTAACATAAAGGTGCTTGTGAGATTGTCTTTTGGACTTGATGGTCCAAAGGATGTTGCGATGAAATTGTCTGTCAGATCCGAGGATGAAACTGTCAGCGAAGCCATTCATGAGATTGTAGCTAGCGGATAATCTGTCAAGTAGATAAATTTTGATTCAAGACGGCCCCTCTTTTTGTTGATGAGACTGGTGTTAAGCAGGAACATAGATAGACGTGTGTAAAGAATTACAAAACTTTATTATATTTGGGACTGCATTTGTTTGTCCCTCACTGCATTCTTGGTATAGCAACGATACTGGAAATATAATATTGGAGTACACTTGCTTCTTCATGATTGTGCTTCATTTTTCCTGGTAGTTAATGTAATATGAATTTTGAGGATTTTCCTTGCCAAATGTTTGTGTTGTTGAATTGGATATTTGTTGAAACAGCAATTGTTTATTTAGTAGTATAAAAGACAAGTTTCTTATTTGAGCATTTTGAAATTTAGGGGTTTCTGTATGTCACGAGGACACTTAGGACACTATGCATGGTTACGTAGAGTACTGAAATTAGAAAGAAAAACACCAAATAGATCAGACATATAAACATAAAGTCATGAAACAACCTCAAGAAATATACGAAACCATTCAGACATAGATTAATAACATATAATGTATCTAACTCTTCTTATAGTCAGATATTGAAACATACACATTCTTTGCTAATCATGTAGTAACCGACAAATAAGTCATCAAAACACCAAAAAACATAACACGAAAACACACCAGTTCAAGCATTGATTCTAGCAATATTTGACTATTTCCGTAATAGATTGTGAAGATAGGTTTTGTTCTAAACATTAAGAGAGAGAGAAGAAACAACTTGGCTGAGTTGTAAAGTTGGTGAAACAACTTGTGAAAGTGCGAGGAAGTGAGTGAAAAATAATGAACCAATTTGTGAAAGCTCGAGGAATTAAGGGGAAGACGATGAACCAAGTGAAAGCGCGAGGAAGTGAGTGGAAGACGATGAACACTTAAAACGTGACTCTTTTTTAAGGGTCACCATCCTGTGGTTTTGGAATAATATTTCATGACATAGGAAAATGTTTTACGAGTCTTCTTTTATTTTATTTTCATTTTCATTATTTTATTATTATTATTTTATTTTTAATTTTATCATTACAGTAATATTAAATTATTCTAGAACTCTCCCTATTTCAAGATATAAGTCATTTTGTTAAAATAAAAATTATCTTAAATTATAAATTAGTGTACATTTTCAATGAAATATTAATGTCAGTTTTTTCAATATTCTATTATTTCTTCCGTTTCAAAATGACATTCGTATTAGTAAATAAAATTTATTTTAAAATGACGGCCACACTATGTCCATTAATTATTATTTTTTACAATATTTATAACACATTAATAAGATTAATTTAGTAAAACTGTAATGTTTCATATTAAAATGGTTGCATTTTTTAATTTGTATGCAAAACCTTAAACGACAATCATTTTGAAATAGAGAAAATATTATTTATTACTATTTCTTTTTCCAACTCTTTAAATTTCTCTTTCATCGGTAATAAATTAAGGACAATATTGTAAAATCATGCATAATTTTCTTTCTCATACAACATTGATTAGGTTTCTTAATTCGCGTGAAATGTCCAAAACTTATAATTTGGAAAAAAGAGAGTATTATGTGTATTAAGTCCGACAACATTAATGCACACTCCATTTTTCTAGAAAACTAACACAACTTGCCCTAGAATTCATTAGTTTGCTCCTTCAAGCAATAAATTTAAAACTAAGTGATTGTTTACCAAAAACACTGATGAACACCAGTATATATAGGAAAGAGAAATACTGGTCTCTCTATCTTTGAGGCATGAAGTGCGAAGGACTAAGAGATGTGCATGAGACGTAAATCTTTTGCAGCAAGGTGTAAGATATTCATGTGGTAAGGGGTAGATTCTAGAAACTTAACTGTATAGCTGGTCAAGAGACTTTAGCCCTGAACGGACTATCTCAAGGTTGTCGGTTCAATACGAATATGGTCGACCTTGAACAATTCATTACCCCGACTTTAAAATCATTGAAGGAAAGTTTAAACTCCATCCTAGAAAACATGCATTCTGTAAGGGAATTTCAAACCCATCAAACTTATTGCACAATCTCTTATTGGAACCAAGTTGAAGCACGACCCAGTTAGAGAATGGACCCACATCCCAATAGGCATAATCCATTCTACGTTCATCAATGGAGACAAATGTCGTCCCCAACATATATTGGTTCATCAAAGGGTATTGATATGCATCAGCGTGGAGCTCAAAATTCTATTGTCCCAGTCACACCATTTATGTGTCTTTGTTAATAGGTAAAAATTTACGATCATGAGTATGGGCGAGCAATTATACTTTTAGCCACCATATAATTTCATTATTATTATGATCACATCCAAAGGAGTCTATGATATTTAATGTAAATGTGAGTCTCTCAATCATCTTTGGGGTTCCCTACAATTTTAGGGTTTGTTATATGAACTCTAGGAAAGGCAAAGCCTCGGGAAACCTCACTATTACCAGTCCTAGTGGATGCGGACTCCTTCACTTCATCAATGTTCATCTCTGGGTCTCTCACTTCTTCAGGTTTTCTTATTTCATCAATACTCATCTTTGGGTATCTCACATCTGCAAACTCTCTAACCTCTACAAAGCTCACTAATGGATGCCTTAATTCTAAAGACGACGCTTATAAACTCCCTTTCAATTCGAGAATGAAATGTCATTGATATCATCATCGTTATATAAATCTATAAATGACATACTTGGGTTTCCTACATTGGCTATAACTAAAAAAGGAATGCAAACAAGTGAAAGGGAAAGGTGAAAAACCGGTACTTTGAATATTTATGCAGGCTCTAAAGACTGGAGAATGAAGCAACAAGAAGAGAATCGCTGGAAACCCAAAAAATACCAAGCTTTGAAAGATGAAGATCAATCGACTGAATAATGATGAACATGGAACATTGAAGATGAAGATCAATCTGTCCTTATGTGTGTGACCCTGTAGGTTCCCGTGATGTTGACAATTATATTAAATCATATATTTAATATAATAAAAAGTGAGCGGTATCTAGCAACAAATCACTACTATACCAATTCACGAAAACGTCATGTGATCTAACAAAACCTTTTGTGATAGTACTTGTGTGTACAATTATCATTTTTCTCTTATGTTTATATTGAACACGAGACATATATCATGTCATCCTTGTTCAGTTCAATATTGTTCCCTTAGACATTTATCCTGTTATACAGGGTGAATAAATTCCATCTAGTTCACTCATGTTCCTCAGCATGCTTTGTGGAGTACCCATCAACTGTCTTTATGGTCATCCAGTTATGGACAATGTTAGATCAGTAATAAAATACTCGACTATACATCTAGGGTCCATAGTGGTTTCAGGCCGGATGGTGGTATACACCACTATCACCATGAGAGTAACTTATGACACTTTGCATAACATTTTATGTAGTACTCTCATAGCGGGTCAATCCAGTATAAATATTACTCCTAATATTCATACATATGTTAAGACTTGATAACTCCTTATCCATGATTTATGAGATGTGATCATCAGTCTATCTACATAATAGTCTTAATGCTTTAAGGTCATCCCACTTTACCGTAAAGCTCGACTACAGATACTTTAAGAATAATGTCCTTATGTTTAATGGATCTCATGATTAAGTCACACTTAATATTTTAAACGAACTAACTATTCTAGGAACTTTATCATTATGGAAAAACAATCATAATAAAGAAATACATTTTATTAATAATAAGTAATTCGATACAAGTTCCAAAAGTATTAGCCTCTAGGGTTTACACCAACACTATCCACCTCCTCTTTCATCTTCGTAGGATAAGCCCCAAGATACTCTATTATCATCTCAACTGCCTCGTCTTTGGTCATCCTCCCATGATCTAAGAATCTCCAATTGATCGGAAGATTTAGCAAACATGAGACAACGTCCAGTGTGATAGACATATCACCATACAGGAGATGTAACGAAGAGGTCTTTAAGTGTCATCTCTCCACGAATGCATTAAGCATCCCGTTGTTGACCATAGTGTAACCGTTCTTGCACAAGTCCTTCAGGCCAGATAAGGACATAACCGACTGAAACCAATATGTCTTTTGCTGAGGTAATGCAACAATATTTCTCTCGTGGTTAAGAAACTTCTAGGAATCACGCTCTTGAAATTTTTCAGTAATAATCAATGCAACAATTAAAATTAAGGTTAAAAAATAGAGAATCCAACCAATGCTACCTCTCCTTCCCAGATATGCCTACCAGTATGGTCTAGATACAGAGAAAGTAAGGACAAATCAATTGGACCTCCCCCAAAAGTCCTTGGGTCGGCATCTGCAGTAGCTTCACCCTCTAGAGGTGACACTGGATCAACATCATCATCGGTGGAATGTGGGATTGGATCAACATCATCATATGTAAGAGGTGGCACTGGTGAATCCTGACACTTGGGGAAGGAAGGGGGAAATGATGTGTCAGATGACGAATATCATCTCCTACGGGAAGAAGAAGGTGGAGTGATCTGAGGAGAAGTACGAGTCCCGGAAGTAGACGACTCTGTCTGACCAGAGGGATCTGGAGGCCCTAGAACTTGTTGGCTCCGCTCCCATCGAACGCATGCTTGTTGATCAACCATGTCATGCCTCAGTCTATATTGTTTGTCAGCCATTATGCATGTAAGTTAAAGCAAGGCATACCATTAGTGCACGCAAACAACGCAAGCAAGAAAATAAAAATAAATAAATAAATACTGTAGAAAATTCCGGAGATGCATCTCTAGAAGCACCAGGAATCTAAAACGTAGAAATGTTTCAAAGATGCATCTCCGAAATTTTCTGCAGAAAATGAAACGCTGAAACATTCCGGAGATGCATCTCCAGCAACTCAAAATAACGTCAATGGCGTAATGTACGACATGCAAAGTAAAAAAAAAATTGTTCTGGTCACCATTTCAACCAACAAACAACTAATATAATATGTCTAAATTATCTTAGATGTGATTTATATTCATTTCTAACCTTCACCATTGATTTCTACTCATTTACACCAAAACTCATTTACTCCATCCGCCCCACAATAAGTGACCCATTTGGAATAAAAGAGTGTCCCAAAATGAATGATTCATTTCAATTTCCAATGCATCTTTTTCAATTTTACCCTCTAATTAATATTACTTTCATCATTCTCAATATATGACAAGGGTACTTTAGTAAAAATATTATTCTCTCACTTTCATTTTTTTTTCTTAATGTGTAAAAAGTCAATTGAGTCACTCTTTGTAGCACGGATGGAGTATTAAAAACTCAAAAAACTTATCTTTTGATAAGGTTGGTTGATGTTATAGATGAAAATTGATGTTCCTTTAATCTTTTTTTATTTATTTATGAAACTTGATTGGGATGTAGAGAAGTGCTTTGAGGCTCGAGAAAATTGTAAAATAAGAAAGAAGAGTCTAACACAACTTATGTTTTAAAATGTTCTGAAAATGTATCTTTAAAATATTTTAACGTTAACTTACATTTTGATGCGTTCAAAGATGTCTCTCCCAAAACAGAGGACATTTATAGAAAGTCACGTATTGCACATCTAGAATGCTTTAAGAAATTCTCAAATATTAATGAGTTATATATTCTTAATTTCCCATAACTTTTTATCTATTTCAAAACTATTAAATATACTGAACCTTTCTGGCAAAGTTGAGAAATTAGGACACATCACGCTTGATCTTTTGTTTATGCGAGGTTTTTAATGTAGAATTGATTTTGGCCGAAAGTTACACAAGAGTTGCTTCAATAGGAGAAAAATTCGATTTTACAATGGGAATCTATACACCCACTTACCTGATCCAAATCACATTCAACCACTATAAACATACTAGTACATTTAGTTCTTCCAATGTGAACCAAACACATCCTTCAAATAGTTATAATGAGGAGACAGAAAATTAAATAGTCCTCTGTTTTGGTTTAAAGGTATAGACCTAAATCACACACACGAACCAATGAGCATGGGAGATAAATAAAGGCTGCACTAGTTCCACTGCTAAAGGTTATAAACATGGAGATAAACTTTGCCTTCCAATTTTGGATCAAAGTCAATATCACAAGCATCATTACAAGGGGAAGCCCTACCAAAGGAGTCAAATCACCTTCCTATGCCCTCCAAATGCCCATATCTGCAAGATGCAAGTAATTATGTCAAATATGTATTCAAGAATACCACATCCATGAATTTAATCAGTGAAATCCACATGCATCAGCATTCCTGCATTATGTTTCTCACCAAAGAATTTCGCTGACTTGGAATAAGTCCCAGCATTATGACCAGAAGATTCATTTATGAAAAGTCCTCAACAATCCTTAATGAAGTATGTTTTGGAGTTCAACTTAACATGTTAAACCATTATAAGCTCGAATGGCGTCATAAATATATTGCTTTCTATTTTTGCTTGATTCCTGATTCTTTTTAAAGGTTTAACTTTAGAGAAAGGAAAGCTTATAAACTAACAAAACACAATAATAAAAGCATGGTTCCTATTAAATTCAATCCTACAATCATCCTATGCCACACATAAGCTACAAGTTTTAATTATCATGCTAAAATGCTTGCTCACCTTTAAATTTGTGTCCCAACTTCCTGTACATAAAGCGCTTCCATCAGCAGACATACCCAAACATGTGATCCTGCTCTCATGAGAGTTTTGAAGAGATCCTAGATTCAAGACCACCTACAATCAAATGAAGAAGCAAGTATAGTTAGTCTTACCGACAAAAGATGCACTAGGCACAACCACGGAAGTACACGTACAAATAATTGGAAGAAGAAAGCAATGTCGGGAAATATAATGCTATGACTAGATGTTACAAGACAGAACTCCATTTTATTTTTGTTCAGGTTTCCTTTTTAAACATTAACTCCTTTTACTGGCTCGCAAAACAAAGTTTTAGGCAATGACTTGAGACAAACACCATCCAATTCAAGAAGTCAATAGTGTGACATCTGCTACAGTCCTTAGAAGTAACAAAAAAATAAACAGCTTTATAACAACTCCACATCAAAAGGCATTATGTTGTGATAACGAAAAGAATATCAGAAAGTTATGAGCCAAACAAGATAATGCCAACCCACACAAACTCACCACAGGTTGAAATGTTGAAAGCAAAATGGAACTAGAACTCACCCCCAAATCACATGTAGAAGTAAAGCAAACAACTAATTAATAGGAACTGATGATGTTGTTATGTAACAGAGTATCATAATTTCTATATAAGCCAGTTCCACACTGCCAAGCCAAAAAGATCATCTGTTTCTTAACATAATAAAAGTTGTTTTGGAAAGAACAATTTTTAAACTTTTAAAGGACAGAATACATCACTTCCATGACAATATTTCTATATTTGCCCATCCAACCATGGGTTATCATCATATTATATTAATGATCAACCATACAACAATTCATACAAATTTAAATTTATAGCTATGTAATCTTACAGGGAACATATACTTATACTTTTGAAAAGCTTATTACATGTCCAACTAAAGATAAAGTGTCAAATAGTTTTGAAATTTTAGGACAATTTGTAAAGTTGATTTACTCAATACGAAATTTTTATTTTGACACTTGGATTCACAGTGAAAATAAACAACCATAAAGAAGCATATGTTCCACTAAAAAGCTACGTTTGTTTCAACTATGTAGGAAGCAATAAGTAGAAAGAAAATATGCTACTGTTGTTTTGGATCACACTAAAGCACCAATTACCTTTCACAATAAAGTTTCCCAAAGCATTATAAGTAGAAATAAACACCCTGCTGTCATTTTAGGTTAAACTGAAGAATCAATCACTTTTGCCAAAAGTGTCCCAAACACAGTAATCCCCAGTCACAGTGGTGTGGGGGCGATAAGAATAGAAAGAAAACACCCTAATTTTGTTTTACATAATTACGCTAAAGCATAAATTACCTTAGCCAATAAAGTATCCCAAACATAGCAATCGCCATTTGTATAACCAGCAATAAGAAGTCTTCCGGATATGGAAAATGCAATGGACGTCACATGTGCCATTTCGTTGTCATGGTGTTGCTGATTGTATACTTGAAGTTGGTGTCCGGTCCTAATGTCAAACAATCTGCAAGTTCCATCCTCTGAGCCAGTTCCAAATCTATTTCCATCAGGAAAGAATTTGACAGAATTAACATCTCCCTCATGCCCGTGAAATGTCCGTACTGCTCGACTTGCCACACGAGTGTCCCACAATCTGGCAGTCGCATCGCAAGAACCAGATACAAACAGTTTGGAGTTGGATCCATTAATGGAAATGCTGAGTGGACAAAAAAATATTTATTAGCAATGATTCCATATTAAAAAAAAACTATGCTATTGATTTTCATCTCATACATAGATTTTGCTATTATTAAAACATCATATACAGCATGTTATCCAACAAATTACATTCTATACTTGCTACAATATTTTTTGGCAATGGAGTGCGGGATAGGGGTATTCTATATTTTATGAAGATGGTATAATTTTAACATTTAGCTAACATGTTTCCTACCAGTGAGATTACATTTTTATCAGTGTATAAAGATTGTTAGAAACAGTTTTATTGACATTTAAGCAGTCTCGATTTTCTATTCAGTTGCAAGTAGCTGTTTAAGAATTGAGAAACAAATTCTGATTTAAATTTATCCAGTAATCTCCTAATGTACCTAAGTACATCTGCAGTATGTCCAGACTGAAACTCGCCTCCAAAAACAGATGTTCTAAGGCCAGTAGTAATATCCCATAAAACACATGTCTGATCTCCAGAACCAGTGATTAAGTGAGTGTCTTCACCTGGAACATACTGACAAGATGAAACATAACCTTTATGTCCACTAAGCATCCGTGAAACATTTAGATTCCCATCCCTATCAGTGGGAGAATTAAGATTGAAAATAGAGCAAACACTGTCAAGGCCCCCACAAGCAACAGATTGACCAGTTGGTGAGAAAGCACATGTCATGACCCATGCACAAGGAAGCTTTATAGCATGAGTTTTCTGGCTTGTTAGAGCATTCCACACTATTAATCTTCCATCTTGGGATGCACTAACAATCCGATTCTTTTCTGAAGTCCAGTCCAATGAGTACACCTGTAAAATTAAACGAATGCAGAGTTAATGAGTTGTCAATGTTGGTATGTAGTAAATAAAAGCAATCGCACATATCTCACAACTAACCATAACTCAAGCTATCCTTGCTATCTATCAAAATAAGTGATCAAAGAAGTAAATGACTCTTGCTCAGGCTAGATAACTCCAAAAGCTGACAATTATAGTTTTTTAACATTTTTACTATTTTCCATTTATAACGTTTTATAATTTTTTAAAACCGTTACAAACAAGGCGTACATGCCTTGTATACACTAAATAGGTGCACACATGGTGCCAAAGTCATACATAACCGCCATGGGGTGCTTACCGCTTCTAGCACTTGGTTTTGTCGTTATGTGTTTGGCGTTACCCGTTGCAACCATTAACAACTTTGATTTCCATTAGTTCCATTGAAACTTATTGACGAAGCACGTGGTGATATAAAAAAATACAATACAAATCTAACGAGGCATTAAAGACTAAGATATAACAATATTAACATGGAAATCCTTATATTGAAAAAAAAAAGGCAAATTATAACAACCTCCGCTAAGGTTTTCCAAAACAACACAAACAATTAGAAACTCACCTCCTCTAACTTTCACACAGTTACACTCTGTTAAACAAAGAATCAAAAGAAAAAAAATCCCTAACGTTAGATACTATAACAAAAACAACCAAGTCTTATTCCACTAAGTAGGGTCGGCTACATGGATCCACTTTCTCCATATTGTTCTATCCAGAGCCATATTTCGATCAAAATGATTAATCTCAAAATATTTCTTACTAATGTATAGATACTAACTAACAAAATTTCAAGAATCAAATAAAGTGTTAAAATCAGCAAAAATATTTTTAGAAATAAAAAAAAAAAGTTGGAATTGAATTGAACTGAATTTACCTTTCCGGTATGACCTTGAAGCGTTCTACAGCAAAGAATATCAGTAGGACCAAAAGTAACCGGAGCTCTACCTTGAGACCTAGCATATCCAGCAACTAGGGTTTATTCAGTTAGATAGATCTAATCAATTAGCAACAACAAAATCGAATTGAAGAATCAAACAGAATCAAAAACACAAAAACTCACTATCCGTATCAAGCAAAGAAAGCCGTCTCTGCTTCAATCGTTCTCTGAGATTGTTAACCGTTTCCGTCGCTGCTATGTGCCGCTCTTTGAGCTCCGCAACGGACATTTCGTCAAGTGAATGAATGAATGAGGAAAAAGGAAGATGAAGTTGACCTAATAATAATATGAATCTAGAACTACATCTTCCATTATTGTTGTTTGATTTTCAGATAGAAAGAAAGACGGTTAGTTGTTATGGGAGAAAATTGAATGAAAGAGCGTTGTTATTGGTGTTGTTGGTTGATGTGTGAATGAATGAAGTGTGAAGAGAAGAAGAAAGAAAGGTTGAATTGAAGTTGAAGTGGAGTGTTGTTATTATTTACTGACGCCGTCGGGTCCACTTTCTTTCTACATCTGTCACTGCAAATGTCTGATTTTATTATTGCATTACTGAGATAGGAGCAATTTAAAAGAGATAAAACATATAAAGTTCCGATGCCGGGAATCGAACCCGGGTCTCCTGGGTGAAAGCCAGATATCCTAACCGCTGGACGACATCGGAAGCTTGTGACATTGTTGTACATTTTGGGTTTAACTATCTAATCATTGTTTTCTAGTTTTTTCATCGTACAATATATTAATAATAATAATTTAATTATGTTCCTCAAATGGTTAGACTATGTCACAAACTCTAATAAGAATATATATATAATTATAAATATTAAATTGAAGTGTACTTAAAAATATACTAAACAGTCATTCTTAAATTAAAAATATAAATAACTTATTTTATTTGTTTTCTTTAAATTGTGAATCATAATTATAATTATTGTTATGTTTGTTTTTGATAGAGTATAAAATAATTTTTTTAGGAATTATGTATCCTCTACACGCAATTGTAGAGATTAATCTTTTGAATTAGGACAACATTCGAATCTAATATTTGTGATTAAGTTGAATGAGATCATTTATCATTTCATCTAAGTGCTCTAGGATAGTAGAAAACTATTTGAGTCGATATATTTTGATAAATAATTAGTCAAAAATAGTTTGCGAGAGGTGACCACCTATAAATTCTCATTGTCTTTTGATTTGAATATTGGGATATCTGGAGTCCTTTTCAAAAACCAAATTATGATTGTTATAGTTATTTGTAAACTATTGTGGATGATGATACAATATATACTTAAATTCACTTGATGAGACATAAATCTTATTTTGGGTCAACCATATCGACCTCGGCAACCACTAGGAAGAAGTCATACTCTTTTTTGGGATTTCTAAACACATGAATTGCCATCCTAATTGTTGTGAATCGGATACCTTGAAACAAAGTATAAACGGTTTCTTTATGATCAAGGAACATACAAGGGTTAGGGTTAACAAAGAAAACAAGATAAAACAACAAAGGAACAACAAGGATTTGTTATAAACAGTTATTCTTTCATTTCTCTTAGAACAAGATTACAAGTATACTAGGATTTTATCTTCCTATTTTTTCTTATGCCAAGATTGAGAAACTAGGGTCCTATTTATAAGAAAAATAGCACACTAACCTAATGAGCTTTTTTTAACAATTATCCATTACAAGCTAACTTAGGGTACAAGCTAACTTAAACACTTGAGTGTTAGCTCACAAATTCGACGCCTCAGGCATAGGTTAAAACATTTAAATAAAATATTAAAGCCTTTTAGATTGAATAAGGTTTCGAGCAAGGAGACCTTCAGATGGGAATTCAAGTGTTTTAGGACTTAAAGAAATTTCCAAAACATTAAGGAAAATGGTCTTCGACCGAGACATTGGCTGAAGATTAGTGAAGGTTTTTGAAATTCAAATAATGGAGGGAGTGGTTATGCTTTTCCATGACTAAGCAGGACAAGTGGCGTTCGATTAGCAAGTGACTGCATGCACTATGACACTTGTCGAAAGCTGATGGTTTTAGGAGGTTATTGGTAGTTATTTTTACTATTATAAATAAGAGTTTTAGACATAGAATTCAGTGTGTTGTAATTTACTATTTGTACAAGTTACTCCTAAAATTACTCAAAGTACCTGAGTGTAGAGAAACGAGTTCAAGGAGAATGTACGTTATATAAACGCACCATCCTTACTTTCAATGAAGTTTAATTTACTTGCTTAACTTTAAAAAGTTTTCCTTTACTTTTCCTGCAATCCCTTCTCAAAGTTCATTTCTTGCCAAACCCTTCTCAAAGTTCATTTCTTGCCAAACCCTTTACTTTTCCTGCAATCCCTTCTCAAAGTTTAATGAAGTTTATTTTATTTTATTTTGCCAAACCCTTCTCAAAGTTCTTTACTTCATTTCTTGCAATTCTCTATCTTTCCTCTCTTCAGTCGAACAAACACTTTTTATGATAAGCACTTTTACTGACACACTGTCGAAGTGTATATGTTAGATAGACTAGTTCAAGACATAACCTTTAGCACATGTCCTAGGATCAATCTAATCGATCATGTGAGTCACCAAAGTTATATTTGGAAGATCAGCGGTTGTTTTCCATTTTTTAAGGGAAACAAAATGGCACCCCAAGTGGGACAGTGCTAAAGAATTTTTTTCTTAGTTTTGCAAAAAGTTCGCAAAACTGTAGTTTTATTCATCTTTCGTAAAAAATCATTACATGTTATTAAGAAGTGGCAAAATCGCCGCTATAAACGAAGAAAGACCATGAAGAAAATATATTAGGGATATGGTGACAGATGCAAATCAGCCAAATAATCCTAATCCTCGAGGAGATGGTTTTAACCCTCAGCCTAGCACCATTGGTCCTCACAAAGGATTGAGAAATGACATGGTTCTGAAGGTGAGAAAATACTTAGAAGGGGGGTTGAATAAGTATGAAGATAAAAACTTAAAAATAAAAACTCAAGTATTTTTATCCTGGTTCGTTGAACTCAACTACTCCAGTCCACCCTTCCTAGAGTGATTTGCCTTTCTCAAACAAGGACTTAATCCACTATTTAATCAACTGATTACAATAGTAAGCACTAAGAACAACAGTTCAAAGTCTTCTCAAGAACTACTGATCCTAACTGGATCTTCTTAAGGTTTTCTTACAATCAAATGTAATAACAAATACAAGTGTTTAAATTACTTCTAATAAAGCTTTATCACAACTGTGATTTTTCACTTAAAGTTAAGAACAAAGAAATTAATTCTAGAAAGAATGTGAATAGTATGAGAGCTTTGAATATGATTTCTTTAGAATAAAACGTCAACTGAAGAAGATGAGTGAAGACTTGCTTTTATAGGCAGCTTGGTCCAAGAGATCTTCACGTTGAGAAGAGTGTCCAAAAGGTCTAAGCCTTTTTGTCTTCGCATCAAGTGACCTTTCCTAGAAGAAGAAAGCACAGAGAAATCCTTTTTGTCTGTGTTCTTGTGTCTAGCATAAATAAGGAAAGAGTCGTTTGGATTATTCCAACGGACATAATCTTTGAATTCTTCTTCTTCAAATTTCAGCAAGAATCATCAGAGTCTAAATTGATCAGAGCCTTCTGATGTTGATCAGAGTTTTGCTGAATCAGAGTCTTTGCAGCAGGTGTGCTTTTAGCGTGTATAAGTTCAGAGCATGTTTGATTCAGATCCTCAGTACTGGCAGCTTTAGTACTTTCAGAATCTTCTGTAGTAACTATGCTTTGAAAACTCTTCATACAGAATTCTTCTTTGGTTCAGATGCTTCTGACTTGCTTCAGATTCTTCTGGAGCTTCTGCTTCAGATCTTTCTGGAGCTTCTGCTTTAGATCCTTCTGGAGGCTACGCTCAGGATCTTCTGTTGGCAGCATTCAGAATCTTCTAATGGATGCATCTGGCGCTTCAGAGTCTAGCATATTTCTTATGTTCAGTTCTGATTTGCTTCTAGAGTGATAATTCCTTTACTATCTGCAGTAAAAACTCTTAAGCAAATTTTAGAGTATATAATTCTTAATTACAAAATTTCATAATAGTTATCATCAAAACATAAAGATATTATTAAGAACCAATATGTGTTCTAACAATCTCCCCCTTTTTGATGATGACAAAAACATCAGAAATTTTGTTTAATTGAAAATATAATAATTATAACTCCCCCTGAGATGATGAATCTCCCCCTGAGTTAAATATAAATAAGGAATAGAAACTTCCCTTTGGTCTTGAATATTTTTCAGAGTTAGAGCTTGATTGTTCTTTAACATTTGAGAGTCAGAGTGTCTTGCATATTTCAGAGTCAGAGTCTGATAATTGTCAAATGATCTGAGGGACTCAGAGTTTCTTTTACAGAGTGTACTTATCAAATGTTCTGAAATACTCAGATTTTATGTTAGCTAAAATATATATGTTTGAAGTTTCATTATGGTGAAGTTTAATTAAACAGTTCAGATCTATATTTTCTCCCCCTTTTTTGTCATAAGCAAAAAGTAAAAACTTTGAAAAGACAAACAAAAGGAAACAGTAAAAGAGATAAATCAATGGAGAAAACTTTGAAATATTCATTCAATTCAGAGCAAGAGTACACAAATCAGAAGATATTCAAAAATACATATGCAAACATCAGATGCAAACATCAGAATGAAAAAAAAAACTAAGAGTGTTTTGACAAAAGCATCTTCAACAGATCCGTGATCTCAGAAGAGGACTATTCTTGTTTAGTCATCCACTTAGCCATTGTTTCATTCTTCTGATCCTGTTGGGACATCCACTGAGTCATGTCTTCAGGCTTCTTATCTTGTTTAGCCATCCATGACTTGATTTCTGATTGACCGGCTTCCAGAACTGCAATCTTATCTTCAAGATCTGGATGTTCTTTCTTGATCTTAAATGATGAAGGTGGAACAGTTTCTGAAGCTTAAACAGAGTCAATTTCCATAGGGGCTTTGGAGCTAGGAGCAGTAGAGCCAGAAGGATGTTCTATCAGAGTCATGGCCAAAGGGTTGTCTTCAGATGCAAATTCAGTATTCTCTTCTGATGATGAAGGAGCATCTGTAAGAAGCAGTGGTTCAGATCTCTTAACAGTCCAGAACAGACTTCTAGCAGCTTCAGCAAATTTGAGCTTCGCATCATCAGAACATACGTTCTTCAGATTTGATGCTACAGTGTTGAATCTGTTTATGAAGCCATTCCAAATGACATCAGA